GTAGAAGGCGGGAGACCAAGAACCTGCTGAAGGAGCGGAACGAAGTACGGCCTAGGCCGCGCGGCGACTCCAGACACAGCAGGGACAGCACCAGTACCCCCAGCGGCAGCACCAGTGCCAGCAGCACCTCCAGCTCCAGTACCTCCAGCAGCACCCCTAGCAGGACCGCCTCCAGGACCTCCAGCAGTAGCCTCAGCGTCAACACCCTCAGCAGCTCCAGCTCCAGTCGTACCCGCGGGCCCAACAGCTCCAGTACTCCCAGTACGAGCACCTCCGGGACCCGCGGCACCAGCACCCTCAGTAACCGAAGAACCTCCAGCTCCAGCAGCACGCCTCCAGCGCCGGGCAAACCACTCGCGCAGCTCCTGTGGAGAGAGTGGCTCCCGCCGAGACGAAGCACCCGGAGAACCTCCAGGCTCAGCACCGCCAGACGCCACACAAGCAGGCCCAGCTCCCTCAGGCTCCGCACCCCCAGGCTCAGCACCTCCAGGCGTAGCACCCCCAGGCTCAGCACCCCCAGGCTCAACACCCCCAGGCTCAGCACCCCCAGTAGTAGCACCCCCAGGCTCAGCACCCCCAGGCTCAGCACCCCCAGTAGTAGCACCCTCAGGCTCAGCACCCCCAGGCGTAGCACCCACACGCTCAGCACCCCCAGAGTCAGCACCCCCAGGCTCAGCACCCTCAGCAGCACCAGAGTCACCAGTAACCTCGACAGGCTCGACTGCGTCTACCTGGGACACACCTGAAGGGGCAGGACCCTGAGGGGGGAGGGGGTCTACCGGGGGGGGACCTGGCACAAGGAAGAGCGGTGGCGGGGGTAGGGACGGAGTGCGGTAGGGGAAGAGGCGGTAGTAGGGGACCGACTCGTCAAACGTGACGTCCTGGGAGGACAGAACATGGCGAGAGGTGGGGTGGTAGAACTGCCACCCTGGCGCGTCAGGGGGGAAGCCAAGGAAGACGCAAGGAGCAGCACGAGGGGACAGCTTGTCCGCAGACAAGTCGCGGACAAACGCCCGAGATCCCCAGACACGGAACGCAGACGCATCGCCAACCTTCCCCGTCCACAGCAAAGCTGGGGAGGTCTCCGGCCTGGAGACCCTAGGGTGAAGGTTGATCTGATGCGCCGCGTACCGAACCGCAAACGGCCACAGAAAATGGGGGGCATCCGCATGCATCATGGACGTACGGGCGACGTCCATGACCATGCCAATGCGGCGCTCAGCAATCCCATTTTGCTGTGGAGAGTCCGGAAGCGTGAAGGTCTGGCGGATGCCTCGTGCACGACAGTAGGCTCGCAGAAGGCCAGAGGAGAACTCTCCACCTCTGTCAGAGTGCAGACGCAGAACAGGAAAGTCCGAGCCGAAGCTCTGCCTGAGCTGGAGACGAGCTGCGCGGATCCAGTCGATCAACACCTCAGTGACATCACCCTTGCTGCGCAAGGGGAAGACTGTGGTGTAACGCGAGTAGTCGTCAACCACCAGCAGGAAGTAGCGCTCGTGACCCTGTCCACGGACGCGGGCCGGGCCCCACACGTCCATGTGAAGCGTCTGCAGCGGGGCCTCTGTCGGAGGAAACTGGGAGGAGTGAGGGGCAGCCCGCTGCCGCCCCTCGACACAGGGGACGCAGGTAGGGCCAGGCCCCGGAGGAAGGGGAGGGAGGGACCGGGGAAGACCAGAGACAAGGACACGGGAGGCCATGCCTCGGAGACGAAGCAGGGAGGGGTGACCAAGGCGGTGGTGCCAGAGGAGAGTCTCGTGAGACAGGAGGCGACACGAACAGGGGGCAGACTCAGGACCAGACCTGGACGCTGCAGCAAACACCTGACCCGACGCAGCTACCTGACCAGACGCAGTGACTGGAGGAGACGCAGTGGTCAGGGTGTACAGGCTCAACCCCGGCCGACGGGTAAACGTGGCCAGGTGTCGGCCAGTCCGAGCGTCCGTGCAGTGGGTCACCCGCTGACTCGCAGGAGTGAACTGGTGAACCCCCGCATCCTGTAGGTCAGCACCACTCACCAAGTTCGTAGAGAAAGAGGGGAGGTAAAGACCAGACAGGGTGCCAGAGGGGGCCGCCGGACACGGGAGGACAGTGGAGAAGTGAGCAAGGACAGGACCCCCAGAGGGGTCTGCCAGAGAGACCGCAACTGGCCGGCCAAGCGGCGTGAGTGTGGTGCGGTCTCGAAAGAAGGAGCGAGAAGCCCCCGAGTCAAGGGTGAAGGTGTGGGAGGCCGAAGCCGACGCAGAACCTGAGAGAGCAGACTCACCAGCACCTGAGGGAGCAGACGCACCTAGAGCAGCAGCCTCGCTAGCACCTAGAGCAGCAGCCTCACCAGTACCTAGAGCAGCAGTCTCAATGCCCGGTTCGGGCGGAAAACACCGGTAACAGTCACCCTCATCACTAATAGTCACAGTATACATGGCAGCAAGAATAGCATCAAAGTCAAGGTCAAAGACAGCGACACCCGCCCTAGACAGCTCACCCCAGCGGGGGATCTCAGTGGCCTCAGGGAACTGGTGACGCCAAGCGTCCGTCTCGCGGCCAAAGCAGCGCTGGGTGTAGTGCGCACCCCCGCACTGCTCACCCGCGCGGTCGCCGGTGCGGAGGACGTAGGTGCACGGACCAGTACCCCCACCCCGCTGGCGTGCAGCGTACCACTCACGGAGCTGCTGAGGGGGGGGGATGTCACGAGTGCGCTGCTGCTGCTGCTGCTGCTGCTGGCGCTGACCACCACCGGAGCCGACCCTCTGCGCAGCGCCACCCCGACCAGCTCCACCTCCTCCGCCGCCGCCTCCTCCACCGCCGCCACCTCCGCTCCCACCGCCACTGCCGCCGCCGCCTCCGCCTCCACCGCCGCCACCGACACCTCCACCCCCACCACCACCCCCACCGCCACCCCCACCCCCTCCACTGCCTCCACCGCCGCCTCCACCGCCCCCGCTAGCTCCTCCAGTGCCCCTGCCCCCCTTGCCCTTGCCAGGGCGGCGTCTCCCGCTAGGGGTAGACGCCGCACCGACCGACTCAAGCCCAACGAGGTCGGCCGCAGCAGCAGAGGCAACAGAGGGCAAAAGGGGGGAGGGGGAACACCCCTCAAAGATGGGGGTGCGAGGGTCACCACGAGAGGCTCCTACAGCTACTATGCTCTTCTCTGCTGCTAGGAGGGACTTCTCGAGGAGGTCAACGGTGAGAGTGGTGGGGCAAACTGAGAGGAAGTGGTCCCTGACTACGCGAAGGGAGTCAGGGAGCCGGGTGACTATGTAGTAGAGGGTGATGTACATGGGGGGGGGGGTTCTTGGCGCAGAACTCAGCAGGAAGCGCAGCGCGGTAGCGAGTGTCACTAGTGCGGAGGTGCGTAATGAGGTCAGCGACTGTGGGAAAGGCAGCAAGGTCAGGGAAGAGGTACGGTAGCATGAGGCGGCTCAGTGCAGCAGTGGCAGGGGAGGAGTAGCGCGCAACTACAGCGTCGTACAAGGTGTGAGCACTCTTGTACTGGCTAAAGTGCGCACGCTCAGAGGTAGGCAGGTGGCGACGCACAGCAAGACGTGCAGCAGCATCGCGCGTGGCCCACTGTGAGCGAACAGTGGCGTCAGCATCAGCAGCGGGGGCAGGGGAGGCACCAGAAGTGAGGTCAAAGAGGGAGAGGCCGTCTGCTCTGTCGCACTGTAAGAAAAGCTGCAGGTCATCTATCCAGACGTCAAAGTCAATGGCCCGACCCTCAGCGTCAAAAGCGAGGACACTAGGGGTAGCCATGACAGCAGTAGACTAGCAGCGCAAACAGTAGGGTGAGGGCAGTGCTGTGAAAGAGGCGCTGCTCTTACCGGACAGGGCGGCTCAGGTGGTTCGGCTGCAGGGCGGCTCGGCGGCTCGGCTGCAGGGCGGCTCGGCGGCTCGGCTGCTGGGCGGCTCGGCGGCTCGGCTGCTGGGCGGCTCGGCGGCTCGGCTTCTGGGCGGCTCGGCTGCTGGGCGGCTCGGCGGCTGGGCGGCTCGGCTGCTGGGCGGCTCGGCTGCTGGGCGGCTCGGCGGGGCCGCTGAGAGGGCGGCGTCCGGGGCCGCTGGGAGGAGGCGGCGGGGCCGCTGAGAGGAGGCGGCGGGGCCGCAAAGGTAGGTGGCGGGGCCGCAGGTAGGTGGCGGGGCCGCTGGTAGGTGGCGGGGCCGCAGGTAGGTGGCGGGGCCAGCACAGGTAGGTGGCGGGGCCGCGGGTAGGTGGCGGGGCCGCTGGTAGGTGGCGGGGCCGCGGAGGGCGGCGATGAGCCGTAGGGGGCCGTGAGGGGCCGCGGGAGGGGCCGTAAGGGGCGTAAGGGGCCGCGCGAGGGGCCGTAAGGGACGGCGCGAGGGGCCGTAAGGGACGGCGCGAGGGGCCGTAAGGGGCGGCACGAGGGGCCGTAAGGGCGGCGCGAAGGGCCGTAAGGGCGGCGCGAAGGGCCGTAGGGGCGGCGCGACGAGCCGTGAGAGGGCCGCTAAGGGCGACGCGACGGGGCCGTGAGGGGCCTAGCGAGGGCGCGACGGTAGGGAGAGCACACAGGGCGCGACTCGGGCCGGAGCGAGGCGCGCTCCGGGCAGGAAAAAAAAAATTTCGTGGTGGTGGGCCCTAGGAATCGTTCCCACTAGGGAACCTGCTCGATACCATGAGATGAAACGAGGAATGGAATGACTAAGGGAAAGTTGGGTACAAAAGCAAACCCTAGAAAACTGTACCCCATATGGTCTACCCCACTATAGCCTACAGTAGCTATGTCATATAAATCTGACACAAAATACAGCATCAATGGGTGTTCTAATACGGTGAGTGTACTCATAAGTACGCCTGTTAGAACAACCCCCCTTTTTTCTGTAGTTTTGAGTACACTTGCCGTATTCTTTTTGTTTCCAAAAGAATTAGAAATACGAGCATTTTCACACAATCATTGTTACTAGCATGTGGATACCGTACAGAACTTTCACAGCTCCCATGATGCATGCCACTCTTCCACCCCATCATCCTATCCCTCTTCCATCACCACCACCTACTCCTCCTCTTCCTCCTCCTCCTCCTCCTCCTCCTCCTCCTCCTCCTCCTCCTCCTCCTCCTCCTCCTCCTCCTCCTCCTCCTCGGACTCTGCATCAGCATCTGCTTCTGGCTCTGGCTCCATCCTGTCAAAGGGGGCTATTCTCCCCTGAAGGGCTGGCGCCGTGGACGTCATCATAGACGTCCACCTCCGGGCCCGTCCTCAGGTGAGCGAGAGCGAGATGGTCCTCGCTCCCATCCACAGCCGTGCTAATGCCACAGTCTTGAAGGCACGGCGCACCGTATCCGCAGGCGCATCTTCCCATCCTCGAGCAATCCACTTGAGAACTTCCTCAGCAGGAAGCCTTTTCAGGTTGCCTGCGTAAAGGACGGCACAAAGAGCAAGGAGGTGAGATCACCTAGGCGGGAAGGTCGACACATGCAATAAACTCAAGTGGAGATCACCTCTTCTCGGGAATCTCGTGATGCCTTGGTCAGTGAACCGTGTTTCATACTGGTTCCTGACTGAAGCCTTCACACTCTTGTTGATGCTAACATCCAAAGGTTGCACCAGTGAGGTGCAACCACCTGGAATGGTTGATGGGATGACGCGCAGCAGGTTGAAGGTGCTCTTCACAGAAGCCGCCAGGTGGTTGAGGTTGTTAGCGACCCCCATGGGTGCATGCTTGGGGCGAATACCTTGGTCGTCCAATCCTGGACGAGGTTCTCGTCCATCCATCCGTTCCGATGGGCCCTGATAACGACACCTTCATAAAGGCAAAGACATCCAGAATCTGTCCGCGTTTAGGGTAAGCAACACCTGGGGAGTACAACGTCCTCAAAGCAATACATGTGGATAACGCGTGGTCAAAGCAACACATGGGATACAACTGAATCTAGAATATACCTGGCGGGACTGCTATTTTGGGCACGGTGAGGGGCTTGAAAATCACATACGGGGGCAGCTTCTTCCCCGTAGCGGTGCATGCCAGCATGACGGTAAGGCGTTCTTTCTGGTATCCAGTCGTCCGCACATGAACCGTCCGCGTTCCCCGCCTCTCCAGCATACGCTTGCACGGTAGCTCGATGAACAGTGGCGTCTGGTCGTCATTCACCACGGTATCGAGCGGAATCTTCCACTTCACCAACATCTGACGAGTGAAGCACCAGAAGAATCCCACGCTCTCCTTGCAATCGGCATGGGTAGTGAAAATGATTTAGTTCAGTGGCATATCATATGACATAGAAAACAACAAGGCTTAAAGAAGTGAATCAATATCATTAGAAGCTAATTTCTGCCTGATTGTCGCCTTCATGCAGACGGTAAGGCCCCACCGGTCACGAAACCTGAAACTCCAGAGGTTGGAACCCTTCTAGTTGACAGAGGGGTGGTGCTGCTTCATGTACGCGCGGCTCCAAACCTGCAGCAAGGAAACAAGGACCGACAACCCCTAGCTCCGCTTGTGGAGGAGTGCCGGTAGAGCGTCCCCTCCATATCCGGCCACTTGGGGGTTCGGCCAGCACCAACAAGCCTCTTCCTACTGGACGCGGCTTTCTACAGACGCTCGTGGTCCCATCGCCACTGACAAATGCAAACCGGCTGCACCGAAGCGTGAATCGCCACCTCTCAAACGGAGAGGTTGTTGTCCAGCAGCATGCGGACCCAGCGGATCTTCTCCGTTGCCAAAATCACCCGCCGTTTCGGCTTTCTGATGGTGAGCCTTGGATCCGGATGATCATTGTTCCCGTTGTAAGCGGGGTTATCCGGTAGAACACAGGTGCATGGGAACACAGGCACAGAAACATTGGGAAGATCATTATCCGCTGAACCTTGAAGCGGGACCAGGAGAGCGGGATGAGCAGGAGGAGCAGGTGGGGCTGGAGGGGCAGGAGGGGCAGGAGGGGCAGGAGGGGCGGGAGGGGCAGGAGGGGCAGGAGGGGCAGGAGGGGCAGGAGGAGCAGGAGGAGCGGGAAGAGCAGGAGGAGCGGGAGGAGCAGGAGTAGCGGGAGGAGCAGGAGGCGCCGGAGGAGCCAAAGCAGTGGGCGGTAAAGACGTGGCAACCGGAGTGGGTGGTGCTGATGGAACTGCATTATGTGGTTGCACTTGAGCACGAGGATCTTGGTTAGAATGCACGAGCATTATGTGGCTGCACTAAACAGGATGGCTAGGCCGCTACTACTCGCTGCCATTGTGACTGAATGAATCTTGATTGCCTACTCAAGATATTGCTACCGGTATTTAACATGTTGCGTATCTGGCCAACGCAGAACCATAGCGCAACACAAATTACCGTGCATCATGCCGTCATGTTGGATAAACACAGCGCGATACAAACCTCCATGCATCATGGCGTCGTGCTGGACGAACGCAGTGCGACACAAACCTCCACGCATTATGGCATCGTGCTGAATGAACGCATAGTTCCTAGTACAAGCACCGCCCGTCATTGTACGTCAATCTACCGTGGCGCCAGATGAACGTGATGCGTGGTCAAGCAGCAAGCACAGGCATCAGTAGACGTGGTGAGAGGAGTTTTGTGAGCCAGAGTGGTGTCGAATAAGCGCTGAGGAGAACGAGGGAAAATGGGGATGGATAACATGGAAGGGCATGAAAGAAGACGAGACAACCTCGCCGTACACAATCTTGGAACAAGGGCAAGGGGGATTTGGGGGGGAACATGTGGCCCCTCGTACAGCGCGACAAGGTGCTGGGTGGGTGTGATGATGACAATGTCGGCGTGCCAGCGCATGATCGCACTGGCAGCCTCTTGGTCATTTCACGAATTCAACGGTTCACAGTGACTGCACCACTCCGTGCGTGATTTCAGGAGCCGAATGCAATAGATTTGTACTAGTATTCGCGATAGAAACCAGACAGACCAATTGTGCAACTTCTGCTCTTTCTAAACCTGTGTTGAAAATATATTTCTGTAAATGCCTTTATATAACACCCATGAGTGTAAGCTTACACCCCCCCCCCCCCCCCCCCCCCCCTTCCCCCCCAAAATTAAACACCCTCACGAAGAGGGGTAGTTATCAGTACACCCTAGGGTGTACTATACAGGGGATTATGTCAGTAGCCAGCGATGAATGCAAAGATGAGTACGAAGGCGAAAGTACGGAGTGGCAAGAAGAGTCGCGTACGGTTGGCAGCATCTTGACCGCCAGAGCAGAAGCACTTGGAGGCTGCAGGAGCGAGAATTTTGGCGTGAACAGGTTTGTAACTGTCAAGAGTCGCACGGTTGAGTTTCGCTACAACAAGGGAATGTACCCCTTAGAGTACATGGCTAGTTTAGGTCGTTTCGAATTCCTTTGTACTACAATATAAAATCTTGTGTGTTCTTGCTTTAATCATCGCAGTCATTTTAAATTCACTCTGACCTGAGGTCAATACTTCCGCTGCAACACACTCTCTGCGAACCTTCCTGAAGTGATCCTAAGCACGATCAAAATTTTGATTGCAACATGGTATTGTCAAAATGAGAGTTTAGCGGAATGATGACTATGAACAATGAATGAGTACAAATAATAACCCTAATGGGTTGTACCCTCTATGGGCTACTCCGGTACAGCCTAGACAACATACATATATGTTTGACACACCCGTGGCTGACAGCAAGAACAATAAGCGGTCACAAGACCAGTCAATAAAAAAGGCAAAGCAAAGCTCAGGGTGGATCACAACGCTACCCCACAATCCGAGCACAAGGCCAGTTCACATGCAACGTTATAAAGAGCACATGCAGTACAGTGATCACAACCTAGCAAGGGTAAGCGTGCAGGCATATATATAGATCAAAGTACAAGGCAAAGCCAAGATGAAAGCAAGTGAGGCAGAGTAGGCACAAGGCCCAGAGCAATGCTTGGCGAAGATATCAGCAGTTTTGGCCTATGAGGTTTCGTAAGGAAGGCGAAGCTGGCCACGCTACTGCAACTCTCGAGCGAGGAAGTAACGCAGAGCGATGTGCTTCGTTCTGATGTCCAATCTCTTCTCCTGACACAAGGAAATCATGGCCTTGTGTCGACGTACATGATTGGAGGAGAACGAGGCCGCTCACCCAAGTCGGTCAGCAAGTAGGTTAGCCAGCGTAACTCCTGTGCAGCCATGGCCCCCGTGTAGATCTCATCCTCACAATTGGAGCTGAGATCAGAAGACGAGCGAATGGACCTACAGGAGACAGAACCAGAGCCGAGACTGAAAGTGTAACCCTGTGACAACCGCTGAGTCTCTTAGTCGTCCGCCGAAGAAGCGTCTAAGTGCCCAGTGAGAACAACTGGACCCCGTCCTCCAAGCATAAGCCCCATGCCTGATGTACTGCACAAGCAACGCAGTACCCTCCGTGCACCCTGGTAGTGCTCAGGGCGGTGCTTCTCGGGCGCAATGAAGCGCGTCAGGATGCTGAGAGGGTACGCGACGCGTGCAAGTCATCAGGTACATGAGGCAGCCCACAAGCTCTGGATGCGGACCACTCGGCTCTACGAACTCATCCAAAGGTGGAGATCAAAGCGGGTGGCTCATAGGCAGAGGAGTGGGCTGTGGCGAGGAGAACTGAAAACGGAAGTGCTAAAGGACCTGATCACCATGTGTGACTAAGTCAGAATAATGGTGCGTCTTGCTTTGTCCCGGGTGATCGGCAAGCCAAGATAGCTACGCAACTCACCCAAGTCAGTGCAAGTGTGTCTCTTCTGCAGCTCCGCCTTCATAAGGGCTAGTGCTTTAGTGTCAACAGTGAAAAAACCAAGTCGTCAATGTATACGAGGATGTAGAACGGCGGTAGAGAAGGGTCGGTGCACAGAAACAGTGACGGGTTAGCAGTCGACAGAGCAAACCCAAGAGCCGCAAGTGTAGCCCTCAGTGTGTCATGCCACTCCCGGGGAGACTGGCGGAGACCGTAGACTGGCCGCCGGAGGCACCACCGGGTACCTGCAAGAAACGACCTAGTGAAGCCAGGGGGGTGGCACAGCCAGATCTCCTCGTAAAGACTGCCCCGCAGGAAGGCTGTGGGAAGTCAAGCGAGTGGAGCTCGTAGTCAAGCTGCGCTGCAACATGCAGTACCACCCGAAGAGTGGTCATCTTCGGGGTGGGGGAGGTCTGGAAGAAGTCAACTCCCTGTTGCTTACTGAAGCCTTGTGTAACGTAACGCGCCTTGAAGGCAGGCGGAGAACCCGACGACTGCTTCAACTTAAAATCCACATGCCATCGACTATTTTCGCCCCAGGACAGGTAACTGCGTCGACGTAGGTGCCTGTGGACTTTGAGGATGTCATCTCTGCGTCCATGGCTGTCTCCCCTGAGAGTAGTATTGACCCGAAATCGCCGCTGCGTAGGAGCGCGAGGTCGGGATGTCTAGTGCATCCGGGTCTCCCTCAAGGGCAAGCAGAATGGCAACGAGATGAGGTACGGCAGCCGCAAGGCAATCGAGCTCAAACTGCCTGTCCTGAAGGACGTTACTGCCATGGGCAAGCTCACCCCCAACGGGCAGAGGGCAGTCAGACCCAGACTCAGTAACAAGACTCGCGAAGTAGTCGAGAGGACACGCAACAGCAAAGTCAACAAGCTCAGTGACTAAGGCAGACGCAACAGCAGGCTCAAAAGTAGTGTCAGTGACAAGTGCGGCCAGAACACGCATGACAGTAGGACTAGCAGCACGAGCAAGTTCAGGCTCAGGGTCAGGAAATTCTGGCAGAGAGGACGCTGGGGGGAGCGGCAGGACAGGACGCTGTGCAACAAAGGAAGGA